CAGTTAGTGCCTTCAGTTGACTATCTGAATAAAAGGAATTTTATGAACATACAAATATTAGCTTAAAACTTGTAATAAATGTTTTTATCCAACTGCCACCCTTACACATTTTTAAAATGAGGAAACTAAAGCCCAGAAAGACTGAATTGTACATCATATTCCAAATTAATAAATACATTCCAAATTTGCTGTATTTCTGACCCTAAAAAATTTAAGTATGCTATTCTTTTTCCAAATCAAGTATGTAGTAATTCTAGCCAACCTTTATAGAAAAATAATATGCAATTAGTAATTATTTAATTTTTCCATGACATCTTCTGAATCAACATATATCATAAAGAACAGTAGGTTGTATTCCAAAATAAGAAAATTGAGTTAAAAAGACAGGATCAAAAGAGAAAATAGCGTTTAAACTACATTAAATATATATAGCCAGTCACAATAATCGATATTTAAATTCCAATCTTGTTTATCACTCTAAAGAGAGCCTTTAACATGGAAAAAAAAAGTTATGTTGATACACAGTTATCAATTCTTCAGTCTCCACTCAAAATGGGCTACCTTCCCTTAAACAGTTTCTCTTCCAAACACATGCTTATAGAAAGAATATACTTTGTAGAACTTTATTCCATTAAAACACATCTATATTATGTGCTGGTAACTTAATGAGCAAACAGATTATTAATTCTCTTAACATCTATTTAAACAAGACAATTTAAAGGAAAATATCCTGCCAAATCCGTCTAGATTTTTTGTTTTAATGCTATTTACTGCTTTCCAGACTTATTGATCCAAAACACACAAAAAAATACAAACATTAATTGTATACCCCAGGAAGGAATTTGATATTTGTCTAGATTTATTCAATTTTCTTCTCTCCCAGATGTCATAAAAGAAGTTCCAATTACAGACATTTTCCTAAAATTCTTTAGCACCACTACTGAACAGACTTTTTACAATGCCAAGGCAAAACTATGTAGATGATAAACCAGATCTACCTATCTATGCTCTAACACACAGGTATATGTACCATCAAACATATACATCATGTCTTAAAAATGAGATATACTAAAAGTAGCTGAAAAAAGTTATAACCCAAACGAACAGTTGATGAGTATGGACCAGGGAAGTTTCAATGTTAACCATTCCTTTGATTATGAAATTCCTGTGTTCCTCCATCAATCAAATTGAGCTATATTTAGTGTCAATTAATTTGTCCCTTACTCAATAAAGATCTGATGTTTGCTTTCTTAAATCATAAGCAAAGCACACAACATATCAGAAATGTCAGGATCTTTAACACGATCTTAGGTACTATCTAAGATTTAATGATGTAAGAAGCAAAAAAGAAAATTAGCTAGTCATCTTTCATAGGAACTATGAGAAACATCCTAAGATTCATAGTATTTATAAACATTAAAACAAAATAAAGAGTTAAAACATCAACAGAATGAAATCAATAGGCTTTAATTCTTCAACATAAAAACAAATCACTCTGCTTCTTCAGTTGCATAATGCTTTATTCAGTCTTTTAAAAATATCTCATTTGATATGCAAAGCTGTGTAGGAAGATGGATATGGGAGTCAAGTCATTTTATAAGGAACAACTAGATACTGTTATGATTTACATGTGGCAAAACCACTTTTAACAGCAAAGTCAGAATTAGAATCCAGGTCTCTAGACTATTATGGTCTGTGTTCCCACAAGGGACCCCCAATCCCACAGCTGCACAGCAGGAGGTGAGTGGCAGATGAGCAAGTGAAGTTTTGTATTTACAGCTGTTCCCCATTGCTGGCATTAGCGCCTGAGCGCTCCCTCCAGTCAGATCAGTGGTGAAATTAGATTCTCATAGAAGCGCCGACCCTATTGTGAACTGTGCATATAAGGGATCTAGGTTGCACACTCCTTATGAGAATTTAATGCTTGATGATCTAACGTGGAGCTGGGGTGGTGATACTAGAATCGTTCCCCATCAATCCCAGATGAAACCATCTAGTTGCAGGAAAACAAGCTCAGGCCTCCTACTGATTCTGCACTATGGCGAGTTGTATAATTTATTACATTATCTACTACAATGTAATAATAGAAATAAAGTGCATAATAATTTCAATGTGCTTGAATCATCCCGAAATCATCCCCTTCCCAGTACCAGTCCATGAGAAAATTGTCTTCCATGAAACTGGCCCCTAATGTGAAAAGATTGGGGGCCACTGCTACAAAGTCTTTACCACCAACTGAAAAATCAATTTATCAGCATAAACAAAAACAATGATATTTAATCAGTATTTTCATATATAATAAGTAAATGTTTCCAAGGTATACAAAGCAATGTTTGAAGATTTCAATATTCCAATAATTCCTTTAAAGATAAATTAAATTACTTACTAAGTTTCTCTAGCTCAAGCCGTAAGCTTTGACACTCTCGGGTTTCATTTACAAGTCTCTCCTGACTGTGGGATAGCCTCTTCTCTATCTCAAAGTACTGTTGTTCTACAGAAGACAAGCAAAAATAATAAAATCAAACATACATGTATACACATTATCAATACTGCTATTTAATTCTTATAACCTTGATTTAAAATTTAAAATATGGCATTGGAATTCCACTCCAAGTAAAAGAATCTAAGTAAAGACAAACAGATTGAGCACTGAAAAGAACTTATAACATTTCCAAATGATTCATATGCCAAAAGAAAATAAGGCCTAAAGGGGGTTTTACAAATGACCTTCAAGGCAAGCAATGTCTTATTTATCTTAGTATTTGCCCCAGACATCAGTAAGCTGATAAGAATAAAGCAGACTTTTAAAAATGTATTTATTAAACGGAGAAAAAGTTGTTTAGGTTAAAAACTGCTTTGCAAGCCGGGCTCGGTGGCTCAGCCTGTAATCCCGCGCCTTTGGGAGGCTGAGGTGAGTGGATTGCCTGAGCCCACGGGTTCGAGACCCGCCTGGGCAGCGAGACCTCATCTCTACAATAAATCAAAAAATCAGCCGGGCGTGGTAGCGCATGCCTGTAATTCCGGCTACTCGGAAGGCTGAGGAAGAAGGATCGCCAAAGCCCAGCAGGTCGAGGCTGCGGTGGCCGGGAGCGGCCACTGCACTCCAGTCTGGGAGACAGACAGAGTGAGACTCCAACTCAAAGTAAAACAAAACAAAACAAAAAAAACTGCTTTGCTTTTAAAAGTTCTGTTTTAAGATAGTCGAGGTATTACCTAAAAGTATAAAATTACTAAATTTATGTAAAAATAAATGTGCAAACTTCCCAAGAAAAGAGACCGAGTATTTTGTTCAGCACAGTATCAGGCATATGTAAGGCACTCAAAAATATTGTGTAAATTAATAAAGAGAATGCAGTGTACGATATTAGCTCTGGGAGTCTAAGAACTGTCTAATTTTCAAGAACAAAAAAGTACATATTCATTCAGAATTTCCATTCAAATGGTAAACCAAAACACACAACAGTAACTTTGTATTTTAAATGGTAATTACTATAGCTTTTTTTCAAGGATGTTCAAGCCAATGTTGTCGATAACTTTCTTATGTGAAGGGCTACTTTAGGTGTCTGTAAGGTCTTAAAACGTTTTCTATCCAACTCCAACTTTTCCAGAGAAATCGATTAAACGTATTTACTGCACGTTCACTGTGTTTCCAGCGCTGACTTATTCACCTAATGCTCATTTCTGTGAACATCCATTTCGTTATGGGACCACGGGGCGATGCACACACTAAGAACTAGTGCACGAAGTGGTAAATTATGGGAAGGCCTATGAATGCAGGTGACTACAGATCGGTGAAAACGACTGTCTTTTATTTAAAGTGAAACAGATAAGGTACTCTAGGCTTAGAGAGAAGGCTCGCAAGTCTATGCGTTGGAAAAAGTTAAGCGTCCCTGTATGAGACCACCCTAATTACAAAAAGAACGTGGATTCAGATTTTAAAAACGGGCGGAGGGGGAGGTTGGGGGGCTTCTTCTCATCAAACGGCGAGGAGTAGAAAAAAGAAGGCCCAGGACGCCTAAAGAGCTCGGGAAGTGATGCTAACAGCGTCGTAGCCTTCTGCGAGCTCGCAACGGGGACGATCAGACACAGATGCGGAATTCGCTTCAGAACCAACCAAGGGAGGGAAGGGCGCCTCACTTACCGCTCTCCACCTTAAATTTCTCGTGCCGCCCCTTCAGGCCATCGATCTCGGATTGCTGATCCGCAAGGAACTTTTCAAGTTTGTTCTGGACGGACTTAGGCAGCTTGTTCAGCTCCGTGCGCTCCAGGACTTGCTGCAACACCGCCGCCATGTCAGTCGGGCCGGGGGCCGCGGAGGCAGCAGCCGACGGAGAAGAAGCGGGCAAAAAAGGCGAAGACCAGGAAGACCCAGAAGCCTGAGCCGCCCCCTCTGCCGCCTCGCTCGGCGGCTCGCGCGCGCCTGCCCGGCGGAGACTCCCGCGGCGGGACCCTGGGAAATCGAGTCCTGTCTTACCAGCAGCACCAAACGCACCACAGCGCCCGCGCCCAAAGCGCGCGCGCAGGCGTCGGGAGCTGTGCACCCTGGGAATCCGAGTTCAGAGGTTGCCTGACCTTTTTGGGCAACCCCCAACTTCCGGCTTCCGGCTCCACCCATTTCAGGCCTCGCAGCCCTCTGGGAATCGTAGTGTTTTCTCATTCCCTTCTGTGAGCCCCATCCCGCACCGCCCATTCAGCTTCCTCCTTTCTCCCCGCCCCCCGGCTGCCGTGCGACCACTAGCCGCGCGGTGGCGCCACATAAGTCCTAGTCAATTCACATCCCTCCTGAAAAGCGGATACCTTACCGTCAAAGCCCCGGGATGCCATGGGTCGTCCTCTCTGTCGGCTTCTGGACACTGAACCACTAGAGGGCATCGGTCCCGGCAGGGCCGACGGCGGCGCCGGGCTACCGCCACGCTCTCAATGGCGCCCGGAAGGGGGCGGGGTGGCGACCGCAGTCGCTTTGGCTGAGGCTCTGCGGTGAAGGAAGGGGGGGTAGCGTGCGTCATCAGTCTGCGCCACCTGACCCCCGAGACCCTGAGTTTGGAGTGGGAAGTGAGGTGTGGGAAGTCGGTCGCTTTCTGATGAATTCATTGGCTATGGAATTGGGACCGGAGGAGGCTGCTGCTTAGTTCCCAAACCCCGAACTCCGGCGAACAGACAGATTCGTCTGCCACGAGTGCACATTCTGAAAACAGGTGCGTCAGCCTAAAGATGCGATACGTGTGTGTGTGTGTGTGTGTGTGTGTGTGAGACAGAGCTCCCTTTTCAAGGTAGGAAGGACAGAGTGTAAACATATGGACGGACAGTCAAGTCACTTCGAGAATTTACCTATGTGAACCGGCGTATCTAGATGTCTTTGGAGGGAGGTTACAGGAATTTAAGTGGCCAGGTTCGTTTTTCAGGAAACGGATTTAAAGAAACCAGGAGGATTTTGAGTGTAGCCTATGTTTTAAGGCTTCATTGCAGGAAATGTTACCTACATTATGTTAATGTTTTAAAAATTGAAAACTTGTAACTAAGGTTTTTAAACGCATTCTTAAAAACACTTCTCACCCTCCACCATAACAGAACTACTTGTTTGTTTCCAGATCTTAATTTTGTAACTTCTGAACCCATTCTCTGGGCTTTAGAGTAATGCAAAACTATCTTGTAACTGGCAGTTTACTTTGCACCCCAGCATATCTGTAGTAGCTGTAACTTTATAGTGCTGAATAATATTCATATACGTATTTTTTTTGAGTTGGAGTCTCACTCTGTCGCCCAGGCTGTAGTGCAGTGGCACACTCACGGCCACCGCAGCCTAGACCTGCTGGGCTCCGGCGATCCCTTCTGCCCCAGCCTTCCAAGTAGCCTCCAAAAGTGCTGGGATTATAGGCTGAGCCACCGCGCTTGACCAATATTCATATCTCTTACAGAGCTCAAATTACTATTGTCCAAATTGCAGTATTCAAAATGCTGCAACTGTGTTCCCACAGTCTGTGTTAATATCTCTTTGTAACTTTTTTGAATATCATCTCGTTACATTTTCATCTTCTGCACTGAATGTGAACTCCTTGATAACATCATTCATTATTGCCTAGGTCTTTAGTTTGGTAACTTTGGTTTTAAGTCAGAATTCAAATAAAAAAAGCACAAACCAATAGGAGGAGTGAATGTACTTGTTTCCACCCACGAACTGGAGGGGGAGCATAGTAGTAAAGATTTAACTGAAGGACTCGTTATGATCCTCATTATGAGCATAGTATTAAGAACATGGATTCGGCCGGGCTCGGTGGCTCAGCCTGTAATCCCAGCACTTTGGGGGACCGAGGAGAGTGGATTGCCTGAATCCGCGGGTTCGAGACACACCGGGCAACTTGGCGAGACCTCGTCTCTACAATAAATCACGAAAATTAGCCGGGCGTGGTATCGCCTGCCTATAGTTCCGGCTACTTGGAAGGCTGAGGCAGGAGGATCGCTGGAGCCAAGCAGGTCAAGGCTGCGGTGGCCGGAAGCGTGCCACTGCACTCCAGTCTGGGCGACAGAGTGAGACCAACTCAAAGCAAGCAAGCAAACAAACAAACAAACAAACAAAAACATGGATTCTAGAGTCTGACTGCCTGAGTCTAAATCCTACCTTTGCCACTTACCAGGTTTGTCACTTGGGCACGTTATTAAAACTCTTCTTGTTACAATTTCCTCATCTATCATGAAGATTGTAATAATAATACATATGTAATTGTTTTTTGTGAATATTGAATGTTACATGTAAAGTACTTAGGATAATGCCTTGTATGAAACGGAAGCTATATAAGTGCTATTATTGCATTGCTAGTTACCTATTTCTATAACTCTTACTGTATTATGTGTTGTTCAAGGGCAGATATCAAGTGTTTGTTAGTCATCTTTGTATTCTCCCACATGGCACAATTTCTAGCAAATAGAAGTTTTTCAGTATAGGCTTATTGAGTAAATGAATGTACTTCTTTCTACCTCCCAGTGAACTATTCATAAATTCACCTTTTCTATTTTAGAAATGAGAACATTGAACTTTGCAGTAGATTATCAAAGACAATACAACTAAAGAGTAGATCTAAAATAAGAAACTGCTTATTTTAACTGCTTTTGTGTGTTAACTGCTTTTTGTGTCCCATCTCTTATCCCAGGCATGAGAAATAGGTTTGATCTCTCATGTCAACTCTAGTTATTTCCTGCAGTACTGTTGAGAAGAATTCTGAAGCTACTTTTGAACTTTGCAAGAAACAGTACCCTATTTTATAAGCAGTTGTTGCAAGGCATGGGATAGTATCAGGATAGTACCACTTCTCTACCATACTACCCCATGATAAAAACATCACAAATTATATTTTACCTAAAAATACGGTATTTTTTTTCTTGTTGTTTAGGAGGTTGAATTAGTTCTCAGTAATGGGGAGAACCTACATTGTAGAAGAGACTGTTGGCCAATATCTTTCAAACATCAGTCTCCAAGGAAAGACTTTTGTCTCTGGCCTTTTAATAGGACAGGTATGTATCTTTTACTCTGCATTTATTGATAAAATAAATTACCTGTTTATTTAAAGTTAAAAGATGCTATTTAACAATAAACTCAAGGCTGGAGGATAGGATGGGATATAGAAAAAGTAAATTTAAAGTGGATTTTTGAGGAAATGTGGAAAAGTAGAACAAACCAGCCTGGGTTTGCTTAAGTCAGGACACATTCCCTTTTGACCATGTGAAAGTAATTTATAATGCTGGGCATGGTGGCTCATGCTTATAATCCCAGCACTTTGAGAGGATTACTTGAGTCTAGGAGTTTTGAGAACAGCCTGCCAATATATCAAGACCTCATCTCTACAAAAAATTAAAAAAATTAGCCAGGCATGGTGGCGAGAGCCTGTAGTTGCAGCTATTCAGGAGGCTGAGGTGGAAGGATTGCCTGAGACCAGGAGGACGAGGCTGTGGTAAGCTGTGATCATACCACTGCACTCCAGCCTGGCTAACAGAGCAAGACCATGACTAAAAAAAAAAAAAAAAAAAGGTAATTTATAATGTAGATACTCCAGAATTAGAATTTTTATTGACCAGATTATTCACATTTTGTTATCTTTCTAGGTGTTTTGTATTCCCTTCTAAACTTTATTAATTCCTGATTGTCCAATTATTTACAAATGGAGCTTTTATTCCCGTTTTAGTTTGTCTTATCTCAGACTTGTAGCAAATAAAACTCTTACTGTGGCAGTTTTCCTTTCTGAATATCTTATCCTGATGCCTTAGAATCTTTAAATTGCATAATCAACTTTTCTTATTCTGATTCTATCCATAGCTACTTTCTTTTGTAATTTGATGCTTCAAGTTACCTATTTATAAAGAATGTACTGCCCAGAGGACTTGTATTCAGATCCCTTCATAGCGTACCAGTTTTCCACATCATTCTGAGTGACTTTAGCTAATGTCAGTCTAGTCCTGAGAAACAAGTTTATTTAAGAATTTTTATAAACCAGATTTCTTAGTGTGCAAGACAGAAGACAAATTTACAAATTTACCAGGTAGTACCACTCTATGAAGCCTCTTATTGAACAGCCAGACCACTTCTTTTAGCAATGAGGTGAACTTCTTTTTGATTCTGGCTATTTACCATCTAATGTGGAGTTCTTTCTGTTAGAAACTTTTTATCCAAGGTTTTTTCCCTTCTCTTTACTTAAAAATCATGGGAAAGAAAGTCTTAGAGAAAGATGTAATCAGTAGAAAGAAAAGTGCAGGGAGAAAGCCCTCTTCCAAACTTGTCTTTCTGGATTTATAGACTGTTTCTAGAGCTCAACAAAACCACCAACTTAGAAATGTATCTCTCACAGTTTAGAACCTTCTTCCATCTGTTTTCATACTGCCTTTTAATTCCTTTCAATTTTCTACATGCTTTTTCTTCTTCTTTATCCTAGTACATCACTGTTTTTCTTTTGCTCAAGCTTGCCTGCTTCCTCTTCTCAGAGTGTTTCTTTTTCTTTTCAAAGTTATACATTTTTTGAAAAAAGTGGAGCCTTCTTAACTGGGACCTATCTTCCTTTCCTGTGTACATTTGAATATACTTTATGAAAATAACTTCTGTAGGAATGATTACTCTTCCTTTATTTTCTACCCCAAAATGATGCTAAGGATGGGAGCCTCAAGTCATGGATGAGGATGATACCATATTTACTTGCATTATCAACCGTATCACTCATTTTTTTGTTTTGTAGGAAACTTTATCACTTTTTTTCCTTTGAGTCGGGGTCTCAGTCTATCTCTTAGACTGAAATGCAGTGGCACGATAGTGGCTCACTGTAGCCTCCACCTCCTGGGCTCAGGTGATCCTTCTACCTAAGCCTCCTGAGTAGATGGGACTACAGGTGTGCGCCACCACATCCATCCACTTTATCACTTTTATCACTCTTTTTATTTTAGTGGAAACTTTCACTCTAGTGAAACTAGTGACTTTCACTCTGGAAAAACTGAACTAGTAAATGCTCCTTACATTTAACTTTAGGTCTCCCATCTTTGGTTACCACTTAACTGCTATTAAGGCTGAAGAACATAAAATCTGGTATCATTTCAAATGATGTGTCCTAAATCCCCTTTGTTATTCTGTAGACATGTGTGTGCAAATTTCTCACTATCATCATTTTAATTAAAGTAATGTATACAAGGTCATTTGTTGCTTAATTTTACTGAGATTTTATGTTTGCTGAGCAACCAATCTACTCAAATTATTTAGAAAATACATGTAATAGCTAGAAATTTGACTAAACATATTACCTTTTAGTTAATGCAGTTTATTCACTCATCTAGTAAACCAATTTTAAGGACCACTTTGTAATTCTCATTTCTTCAAATAAATAAAAAGCTGACATTAATACATAAAAAGGCAAACAATATGTGAGGGAAATGTTGTAAGCCTGTCCTTGAAAATGAGTTTCCCTGCAAAGTCTATTAAAATATGGGTTACAAATATTACTCAGTTTTTACATGTGATAAGAGCTAAGATATCTGATTACTCGATCAGATATCACTCTAATAAGTTTTTATAATTTATTTTTGAAGTGTACTTCACAAAAGGATTATGTAATTCTTGCCACTAGAACACCACCCAAAGAGGAACACAGTGAAAACCTCAAACATCCTAAAGCTAAGTTGGATAACTTGGATGAAGAATGGGCCACAGAACATGCCAACCAGGTCATCTTAATTATCTATTTATATAGTTAAATTTGTGTTTATTTGACTAACAACAACAACAAAAACATTGTGTTACTAGACTAAGATTTTTAGAGTACTCATTATATGTTGATTTGCTTATGTCTAAGTTTTAAAAAGCATTTTCTTACTTGAAGTGAAGTAACTCAATCAAGATTGCATAACTAGCATAGTAGTAGAATTGGGATTTGAACCCAGAAACTACCTGACAGCCCTTGCTCTTAAATGTATGTCTTTTCATTGTTAATCTTTGTTCATTGTGTTAGTTTATGAAAATTTTAATCCTGTCTCCTGTTTCTGGTCATTTAGCTAATTTTCTATTTTTCTTTACTTTAAAATAACACTAGTCAGCCAGACTCGGTGACTCAGCCTGTAATCCCGCGCCTTGGGAGGCTGAGGTGAGTGGATTGCCTGAGCCCGCAGGTTCGAGACCCGCCTGGGCAACTTGGTGAGACCTCACCTCCACAATAAATCAAAAAATTAGCTGGGGTGTGGTAGCACACGCCTGTAATTCCAGCTACTTGGAAGGCTGAGACGGAAGGATCGCCGGAGCCCAGCAGGTCAAGGCTGCGGTGGCCGGGAGCGGCCACTTCACTCCAGTCTGGGTGACAGAGTGAGACTCCAATTCAAAAAAAAAAAATAATAACACTAGTCATACTATAGTTGATTGTCAGATTGTTTTCAGGGCTTAATGCTAGGTAGTGAGGAATTAAAAAATGATTAAATTACTTTTTAAATATCCTTAGAGAATTTATATTTTGGTTAAAGAGAAAGACTTTAACCAAGAGAAAAATCCAAGACCAACTACAAGAGAAATAAAAGAAGAAAAGTGCTATAGAAATATAGAGGAGGAAGTAATTAAATAATTACCAACAGTTGGATTCAAAGCAATTACACAGAAGGCTCTGAACCTGAAGGGTGAATTTATATAGTAAATTAGATTAACCTTTGTATCTTTAGAATGAAATGACTGATTTTATGTGTTTTTGAAAAGATACACAGATTCCCCATGCTAAATATGAAAACTTTATTTGTGTTACTATGGTAAACAGAATTTGTGAAATCACAAGGAACCATCAGCAGACATAATACGAACATAGAGAATAGAGTATGGTATCTAATTTTCTAAGATTAAACTATGTATTAAGTAAACAAAAGATAGCCAGAGCACTCTAATCTGAGTATAGATGGTAGAAAAAAAATTGATGTGGCGTTAAATACTAGCCATAGTCATGTGACGAAAAATATAGATATTATGGGGGACACACTGATAATGTGTATCAAAAACCTTAAAAATATACATTACTTCTTATCCCAATTTTTCTCCTCAAGGGATTTGTTCTAATTAAATAATCCTATGAACACAAAAAGACTTACTAAGACTAATCAGTATTATTTTACTTATCAGCATTATTTTAAAGGAAGAAAAAATTGGATATAACATAAATGCCCAATGTAAGTAGATGAACTTAAACATTTGAGATAAACCTATACTATTGAAAACAATGGATTTTTGAGTCAGACTTTCTGTGTTCAAATCCCAGGATATAGTATGCTGCTAAATATAGGGATACAAAGGTAGTTAAGAATTACTTCTTTTTTTTTTTTTTTTTTTTTGAGTTGGAATCTCACTCTGTCGCCCAGACTGGAGTGCAGTGGGCGCTTCCGG